TACGATATAGTACAAAAACGATACAGAGACAAGATACGTATTGTTTTTTAGGTGTATCGTACGATACTAATAACTATGCACAGTCACGATACTATACGTGATACGTATCACGTATCGTACGATACTAATAATTATGCACAGTCAAGCTGGAAGTGATTGTAAACAAGGCTAATAGATTCTATGTTGTCACAATAGACACCAAGGACCCATAGTGTAATGACAAAATATTGCGAAGCCTAGCTCTGAGACTATACTAAAAGGTATTTTTGACCAACAATACTACATCAGAATATCCAATTCAAAACCATTTTGCAATGCATCATGAAGCTCACAAGATTCATATACTAGTCTAGGATGCAATATCTCAACAAAGTCCCATAAATGAAGCTTTACTGGCCAGTTTCTAATCTTGGTTCAAAGTCGCGGTATTAGTCATCGACTCGGAGGGCACTGAGACACATCGGTCGCGGTGTCGAGGCATGGTATCGGCCGATACGCTCAAAACGTTACATAGAAGACCCAAAAAAATATAAAAAAATCATGAAAAATTCTACAAATATGTAAATATCATCATTCATGCATTATATCCCAAAAATACATTGTTTAACATATTAAACATAATAAAAATAAGGACGCTACCAAAAATATTTACCATCATTTAGGTTGAATGTTTTTATTTAAAAATACACTAAACTTTAAACATATGTTATTAGAATTTTTTTTAACTTACTAGTACTTAATTTTTAAAAAAATATAAATAAAAATAAGAACAACAAATATGTATCCATGAATTATAAATTTGACAAGTACGAGAAGATTTCAATACTTTACATGAATAATTTTGTATTCAATTAATAGATTAATGAATTATTGTTCTAATTTTATTTTATTTTTTCTTCTAATTATTTTTTCCAATAATTTACTAATTGAATTAGAAATTTTTCATACATAAGAAGTAAGGGTCAATAAAATATAAACACACGCGTAAAGACAAAAAGCAAATGAAGTGGTGTGGCTCATAAAATATAAACACCGTGTGGTTTGTGTCTTCTCCTTGCCTCTCGGTCACGAGAGAGAGAGAGCGAGCGAGCGAGAGGCGAACAGTGAAGGAAAGAGCAAGAGAAGAAGAAGAAGAGTTTCTGTTATGGGTCTCCACCGAAAAAAGCGAACAGTAAGGAATGATTGAAGATTTTTTAATCTGTAAACTTAGGGTTTCTGCTATGGGTCTCCACTGAAAGAAGAAGAAGAAGAAAAGGCCTTCTGGTCAAGGTGATTCTTTGATTTTTTAGGTCCTTTTATACTTCATCTCTTCCTTTTTTTTTTTTTTTTTGGAATTTCCTCAATATTGGTGGTCTATTCTATGCAAATCAACCAAGCTGTGCCGAGTTGGAGTTGACTCACCGTCAGTCTCACCCAATTTCTTCTTCCTTTCTTGCTACCCAGATTTTTCAAATCTGATTGCACCATAGCGGTCTGACTCGGTTCGACTCGACCGAGTCTAACCGATTTAGCTCTAAATTGGGCCGATACCACCAAGTTGTAACCGAGTTAGGACCGATTCAGTTGAATCTCGTTATATTGATGTGCCGTGTATCGTTATCGGATCGGCAACTGCTGAGACGGATACGACTTGGCCGAGCTGACTCAGACTCGGCCGATACTTTGAACCATTTCTAATAACACAAGCTTTTACGTGAATCGTGGTTTAACATAGTATTAGAACAAGAAGTCTGACGTTTGAATCTCGCCACCACCCTTAATGTCCCCAGTTTGCACAAGCTGGTTCCAAAGCCTAGCCCGTATACGAGGATGGATGTTGAAGTGTGTTCACACTTAAGTTACATGCTTTTTATGAACTTAGGAACTCCTCCTCAATTGCGGCTTTCATATTTGTTCAACATAATTATGTTGTTAGAGATCTAGATGTTTAGAAGATCTCCAGTCATTTCAAAACAATAATTATAGAATCTAACAACCAATATCTAAGCTTAGCCCATCTTTTCTTCCCCACACCATAAGCCTAACCCAATTGGATGTGTCTATCATGTTTCGGGAAAACTTTGGCCCAGTTGTAGGCTTGTAGCATCTTTGAAGAACTTTATCCCCATTTATGTTCTTATCCCCACCTTATAATGCCACTCCGAGCAATACATGTTATTGTTTCCAAATAAACTGAGATAGATATCCTACTTTTCCTATGAACCTATGAAAGCAAGGATTACAAAGCACTAGTCCCTTCTAGATAACGTTAATGATGCCACAAACCAATTACAGTGTTCATAAATTAACTTTTATTGCAGATTCTAGAGGTCGGACATGGAGTGATGACAAGTGCTTCTCCATCCAAGAGATATGACATGGGTCCAAGTCCTAGAATCTACTTCTCAAAAATGGGAGAACATTGGTCCACCACTTGCACTCTCCATATCCCTGCTATAGGCGAAGTCTAACTTTGTATCCAAGTTCTTTGATGTAAACGTATCTCAAAAATGGGGGAACATTGGTCCACCACTTGCACTCTCCATATCCCTGCTATAGGCGAAGTCTAACTTTGTATCCAAGTTCTTTGATGTAAACGTAAACCCACATTTGCAAAAAAATTTCCTCTTCAGCTTTTCTAGGCCTCTCTTCCTTGTGTTGTTGCCCAAAAGAAGGCAATATAGAAAATGACTACTAACTTCATATCTAACAAATAACAATGTTTCAAACAATTGAAGTGCACAGCACCCATGAAACTGAGAACTAACCTTGCCCACATATTTACCAGTCAAAAACATATGAATAACTTTGGGTGCATTTACTAACGTTTTCAATTTTTTGTTTTTTAAAAAAAATAAAAACATAAACAGTTTTTGTTTTTTCTGTGGTAAAAAGCAATGTTTTAAAACCCAGCTCGGCGGGTTAACCTGCAAACCCGGTGAATCGGACCCTAAACTAGGCCGGTTTATCAATTCGACCGTTCAAGCATAAAACTCGGTAAAAATTCATTGAATCGGACGGTTTTTACATAAACCGTTAAAACCGGACCATTAATAACTAGACATTCACTTAAAGTCCTATATAATCAGGATTTTTTGGGCATTTTTGCCCCAATTCGCTAATCAAATCCCTCTCATATCTCGCTCCTCTCTCGCAGACACCTCTTGATCGTCTGTCTTGCAGATCAAATCTCTCAGCCTCTAAATCGTCTCATCATTTTCTCTGATCTCTCAAAATCTCTCTTGACTACATCTTTCGCAAGTCTCATGCTCAAACACTCACCAATCACCACACCGAAAGGCAGCTGGGAATGGGAGATCACTTGTGCAATTTCAACACCACCATCTGAATATTAGTCTTCTTTTTTGTGCTACATGCATAGTTTCAGTTGAGGTTTTGTTTGATCACTTCTGTGAAAGACAGCATATTAGTGCTTTGTGCTACATAAACAGTTTCAGTTAATAATTTTTGGGTTTTTGTTTGATCTAATATACATTAAATATATAATTCTTATAATTATTATATTTTTTTAGTATATTTGTTATTATTAATAATTATTTGTTATTTTTTTATTATGTAATCGGTTCGACCAGTAACTCAACGATTTTCCCATTGACCCAATACTTTTGTCGGGTTAAAGTCCGAGCCGGGTTTTTAAAACTATGGTAAAAAGTCAATACAAAAAACTAGTTTGGTTGTTTTTTCTATTATGACAAATTACAAAAACAGAAACAAAAAACTCGTTTGGTAATCACTTGCATTTATGATAAATAGTTCATCTATACTATTTTCCACCTAAAATAAGCAACAAATAAAATATCCAAATAACAATCTCTTAGTTCACTAAAATACGAATACATCCAACATTTCACACTACTATAAAATCATCTCATTATCCATAGTCCTACTTGCTCAAATAGCATTCACTTAACCAAAATCTCAATAATAATAAAAAATTGTGCACAGCATAATTTACAACCACAACACATGAACATCAAAATAGTGACCCATTTATTGTCTTGCAATCCTGTATGAATGTCGGGAATGACATTGTGGCCATCTCTTGCTAGGTTGTATTCTTCAACTAATATTAAACAACCCACATGCTCAAGTCCTTATGGGCATCGATAGAATGATCATCGGTAAATTCTCCTTTGCAACCTTGTCATTCATTAAACCAATAAAAATGGACTCAAGCTATGGCGTATCACATTTAATGGAAGTTTACAATTAGAATGCTCTCACTAGTAGTATTAAATAAAAGGAATGTTGTTTAAATCAAGTTGTTGTTTAGAGTTGGGGCGTGAGAGTTATCCACCACATGTTAGTTTTCAATTACAGAAAAATCTAGAGATGCCCCTTTGCCCAACTGGTATTATCAGATTAAATGTTGACAGTTACTCTTTGCGAATGTGCATTTTTGCCACTATTTTGGTGATTTGGTTGGAGAGAAACTCAAGAATTGTTTAAAAATAAGTATGAGGTTGTTGAAGGCCTTTGGAACTGAATTCACTTTTTAGCAACTTTTTGGGTTTCAATTTCAATGGAGTTTGCAAACATACCTCTTTTTGAAATTTTGGCAAGTAGGATGGCTGATTGTGACTGATTATTTTGATATCTACTGCATTCCCTTTTTATGTAATGCTCTTAATGGACTGCATTTTGGATGGATGACTTGTCCATTCTTGAGTTCATTTTGTAATACATTTATCTTTTAATACAATTGTGTTTCCTATCAAAAAAAATGTTGACAGTTGAACAATCAAAAATATTGGCCAATTGGGGAATGGAGACCTATGAAGGCATGGAGATAAATATGATTCATTCTCCATTGGGAACCAGCTGGTTGGCAATATTTCCAACAAAAAAAAAAGTCTTTCCTGCTTCTGTCTGGATTAGGAAAACCGAGTCTAAGCAAAAAGAGCAATGACAGGCAGAGCCTACAAAATCTTGGAAACATACACACATAATTATAAAGCATATAAGCATTAGCATGTGACTATATAAACTCAAAATATAGGCACAATTTTGATAACTCAATAGCTATGCTACAAATGTTTAAGCACATGAATGATAACTAAGCAGCACATATGAGATGAAAAAACTGCAAATTAAATTTGAAGTCATGTCATATGCTGCACCAGCAGCATACGAGTGGACTCATGACTCCCGACAAAGTACAAACAAACCTACCTGCTCGGTTATCGCAAAAAAATTGGATCTCTGCTACATAGAAGTCCTCCTGTCTAGTTTTGACCTCCCCTGGTTCTCTGAAAACACAACCTTTAGCGTGATCTCCCTTGAACATTTTGACCATTACGCATTTCTACTCTTCCAGAAAATCTTGCCAAACTGGTGTCCATAGTTTTACTGGTGTATCTTCCAGCTGTGCTCTTTGACACAGCTCTTGAAGGCCTCTTGTCTTCAAATGTAGTCTTCCTCGTTGTCCTTCCTCTATTCATTGCACTCTCATCTTCATCTTCATTCTCATCATCATCATATGACCTCCCCCTGGTTCTCTGAACATTCAACCTTTCGCGTGGTCTCCCACGAACATTTTGACCATTATGCATTTCTACTCTTCCAGAAAATCTTGCCAAACTGGTGTCCATAGTTTTACTGATGTATCTTCCAGCTGCGCTCTTTGACACAGCTCTTGAAGGCTTCTTGTCTTCAAACATTGTCTTCCTAGATGTCCTTCCTCTATTCATTGCACTCTCATCTTCATCTTCATCCTCAAATGACCTCCCCCTGGTTCTCTGGACATTCAACCTTTCACATAATCTCCCACGAACATTTTGACCATTACGCATTTCTACTCTTCCAGAAAATCTTGCCAAACTGGATTCCATAGTTTTTCTAGTGTATCTTCCAGCTGCGCTCTTTGACACAGCTCTTGAAGGTCTCTTGTCTTCAAACGTTGTCTTCCTAGTTCTCCTTCCTCTATTCATTGCACTCTCATCTTCATCTTCATCTTCATCTTCATCATCATTTGACCTCCCCCTGGTTCTCTGAACATTCAACCTTTCTCGTGATCGCCCACGAACATTTTGACCATTACGCTTTTCCACTCTTCCAGAAAATCTTGCCAAACTGGTGTCCATAGTTTTACTGGTGTATCTTCCAGCTGCGCCCTTTGACACAGCTCTTGAAGGCCTCTTGTCTTCAAACGTTGTCTTCCTGGTTGCCCTTCCTCTATTCATTATACTCTCATCTTCATCTTCATTTTCATCATCATCATCATCATCATCATAGTCATCACCACTGATGTCCTCAACTGACATCCCACACAGCTCATTTTGTTTCTCTCCATTTTCATCATCATCCAATTCTTCTCTCTCCCCTTTTTTGGAATCATTGGTCATCTTTTCTTGCTTACTGTTACCTTGCACACTTTTTGACTTATGGTTCTCCTTCACCATGTTCATAAGGTGAATATACCTAAATCTCATGGTCATCAATGGATGCTTCGCAATCAACAAATCCCTCTTATAAACCTCCCTCAAAACCACAGTATGTGTTCCGATCTTACTTGACATATAAAATATCCCCGGATGATGCAACAATGCCCTCTTAAACCTCGACCGCAAGCCCAAATACTCTCCAAGACAAAGTATACTCTCCCACTCCACCTTCCTTGGAACAAAAAGATTAAGAACCTCATGCAACACCGCCACCGCCCATTTATCAGACTCATCACTCTTGGGAGCTAAATGAAATGCATTTTCATATGGTGAAATGTATGGCAACTTTTGCCAATCGTCAACCCATTTCTTATACTTCTTGTCCAACTCAAACCCCCTCGAATATTGCACTGGAAATGCAATTGGCATTCCCCTTTCCCCACACATTGCCTTCTTTTCCACACCTGACACTGCCAACTCATTGTTCCAACAAACCAGCTCCAACATTGATTCATTTCCTTTAACAACTTGAAAATAATCTGGGAACTCAGGAACTATACTTTTCCTATAATCTTGGGGCAAACCCATATCCAATTCTAGGCTATCAATGATATTCAACGGGATTTTATTGACTCTAGCTATCATCAGCAGCTTCAAAAGCCGATCGGCCACTTCTTGCTTGTAGGTTTCACTCTGGTAAATCAAATTCTCTTCGGCATCCAAGTCGAGAATTTCTGGGGTTAGTTTGACATGTGGGTGGATTCCAATTCCGCCCGGGAGAAATTCCTGGAAAATCGAAGGGTATCTTCGGATAAAATCAATTGGGCGGATGGGGATGTTGAGGATGTCTTTGTTTTGGGCTATGTTGGAGAGTGGGAGGGACTTCGAGGGCTCCGATTTGATAAAGTTCTTGAGCTTGAGCACTGCTTTGAGGTTTCTTTCTTTTTCTACCGCGTGGTCCAGGCCCCGATCTCGAACGCATTTGATGGCGGCGGTGGCTGCCGAGAAAGTGCGGTGGTGGTGGGCGGTGCATTTTGGACGGGTACGGAGGATGGACTGCATGTGGGATTGGGGGTTCCGTTGGGTGGGTTTTGCTGTGCGCGTGAGTGCAATGTGTGGAAACGTGAGGGTTTTAGGAGGGTTTTGCCAACCTAAGCCAAACTAAGATGCGCTTTGGTAAAACTTTTTTTGTTTTTGTTTTTATTTTATGGCAAAAGAAAATATATATATATATATATATTTGGTGAATATTTTTATTTTTTTTTAATTGCACCATTTTAAAAATAAGACCAAAATATAGAAATATTCAAAAAGAATGTTTTGAATACATCAAAATTGCAAAACATGCGGACAGTGCAACGTTATTTTAACGAGGTCTGTACTTCGAACCCTCTTCACAGCAAAATAACCTTCTTTTTTTCTTCACCCTATAAAAGGCTAAGAAGCATTTCACACGAAGCACTTCTGGCTCCAGCTCCAGCGATCCCTCTGTCTCTTGTGTCTATGGGATCTGGCGAAGCTCTCTGTAGGATCTCTCTACATTGACGAAGCTTCGGCTTCGCTTCTCTCCAGCGACGAGCCCTTCTAATTTTTTTCAAATCTAAGCTTTATTTTTGCAGATCTAGGGATTTTTCTTCATCTCTATTTTGTTTGATTGTTGATTTCAACACGTGTTTGTGTATGCATATGTGTGTCTCTGTGTATCGGTGGTGGTGGACTGGTGTTGGTGGTGGGTTTTGTTGGGTTGGGTGGTGGGATTTCGGGGCTGGTGGTGGTGGATTTTGGGTGGTGGGTTTTCAGTAGTGTTGGTGGTGGGTTGGATGGTGAATTTTCGGTGGTTGGTGGCTAAACTGGGGTGGTGATGGTGGGTTTTTGCCTTTTCGGTGGTGTTGGTGGTGGGTTGGGATATGAGTTTTCGGTGGTTGTGGTGGCTAAACAGGAGGGGTGGTGGTGGGTTTTCAGTGGTTTTCGGTGGCTGGGTGGGGTGGGCTTTCGGTGATTTGGGTGGATTTGTATTTGGGGTTAAAAAATTAATTGAAAATAACATAAACATTATTATAATATGAAACATAGATTTTATTTTTGTTTTTATAATTTTTTAAATATAAATAATTATCAAATTTTATATTTTAAATTTTTATTACAAAAAAATATAAAATACAAAAACATTATCAAATGTTTGGGTAAAATATTTGAACTCTAATATTTTAATTGTATTTATTTGGTTCTTAAAATTTTTAAGTTGTATCTATGTAATCCCAATTCAAATGTTTGTCAGAACATCGTTGATGGTTTTGATCACGTGTCAATCACGTGATTTCTAATTTTATGTCTATTTGATCCTAAAGTTCTTAATTTATGTATATTTGATCTCATGCGATTGGCACGTGATCGAAAGAGCTATCCATATTTTTACAAAGGTTTTGAAATTGGATTATGTAGAATTGTAGATACAACTTAAAAACCTTAGAAACTAAATAGACACTATATGCATACTTTAGAGACTAAAATTGTATTTTATCCTAAATAATTTCTTTCTTTACTATAGTCAAATTTTTACTCTAGTTTTGTCATATTTCATCTTTAATAGTTATATTTCACTCTACTTTAAATTTAAATTTATTCTTTTTTAAATATAAGTCAAATGTTTCAAGTATTTTGATCAAATCAAATTTTGTATTCAAATACTAACTCAAAAGTGAATAAAAAAATGAGTCAATATTAAAAATAATGCTACGCTGATTAAAAAATAAGATAAAACATAAAACTCAAATACTATGACACTCTATATGACAAGCAATGCACAATTATTGCAAAATTACGTATCATTTATTCTTTATTTTTAGTTTTTTTATTGGTCTATCATTATCCATTAAATTAGTCTACTATTTTATTCATTTATTAATCACTGATTTGTGGTTTAGTTCAAAAATATTATAAGAGTGACTAGCACTATAAAAAATATATTTTAGCTTATATTTTTTCGATAAGCAATTTTGTCTTTGGTGATAGAATTGTGTGTAAGCTTGATTCTGATTTTATGGTAATTTGTTTTATTATATGTTTTCAATTTTGTATTACTAGAGAGCGCACTCAGATACCTTCAATTCTATCATTAATGAAATTCAAAAAAAAAAATATAAGAGAGGGAATGCACTCTAGGTAAGATGTATCCGAGGAAGTGACAATGTATGAAGTTATCTTAACCTGATGGCTTTGTTTGGTTAGAAAGAAAAATATACAAAAAAGTGAAAGTAGTAGAACATGACAATAAATTATATTTTCTTGCATGTGAAAAATTTTCAAGAAAATTTTAGGAAAAAAAATTAATTACCCTTATACATTCCAAAATAAAATAATAATAAAAATTATCACCCATTTCACAATCGTATCAAACGATTGTCAATTTTTACATAATTAATTTTATTAAGAGTGTTAAACGATCGGACATTAGTCCGATGTTTACTAAGTATCTTTTGCTTTGATCAGTATGTATAATTTTCTCTAAAGGGAAAAAAATGAATGGATTCCCTCCTTATTAATCAAGCTCAAGATTTTTAAACCAATTGAATAATAAAATAATAGTGTAATCAAAAAAACCCACAAATAAACCCTCCCTACACCTGCATATGTTATCCATGTCTAGCAACTAAATTGAACGGCCACAAACTGGTTTGATGTTCACTTTGGTTGAAGGTGGGCAACATAATCATCGTTGTCACATACCCAACAATTAAAGTTGATGGAGATAGATAAGGCAACCAAGTGAGTCATTGGGCACGTGAAAAGCATGTGAGTGGTTGGGCGCGTGATGGGGATAGCCACAAAGCGAACACGTGAGTCAAAACACATAATTTGGCATGAACCAAGATCCAAATCGTATATTGCTTGCTCGCCCATATCCCATATTAAATAGCTCAAACCAGTTTCAAACATTCAGGGATGGAGATTCCATTTTTCTTGTCGCCTCATTCAAAAGGTACCTGAATAACTCAAACGTAACAAGAGCTCAGCATATAAAAGAGAGGAGCTAGCTACAAGCCAGGTAAGTAATTCCACCCTACTCAATTCCAACTAATCCTCTTCATCTTTACTAACTTAATCATCGGAGGGTCAACCACCGAAGTCCCTCTAGTCTTTCGCTTCTTTGCAAAAGCGTACCAATAATTGTCAGATCATCAAACATTCCATTGGTGCAACTTTTGGGATCAACAGTTGGCGCTGTATGTGAAAATCGATTTGATTTCCAGTAACAAATACCAAGTCCAATGGCGACAACCAGAACATCTAAAGAACCTGCAGTTGACCAAACGCACGAACGCCCCAATACCCACCCAATAGGGCAAAGGGTTTGTGACGCCCCTAAAATCGGAGGTCTTTTTTCAATTGTTGACCACCCATCAACCCGCGGAAGTATCTATGATTATTGCACAACCCGACATCATGTAAATAGTATCCCCTTAAACGGGATCATAACCCATACATGTAACATGTGTATATTTTACCATTTGACCAACCAAGGTCTAATATACCACTATTTATCCTTATTTTATGTCTATTTGTACCCTTGGAACCAAAGAAACCAAAGTCCAAAAGTATGGCAAGACAGTCTCAAAGTTTTGGATTTTTGGAGATCCTACCGGTAGGACCTACCAGTAGGTTTTGTCTACTAGAAAAGTCCAACCGGTAGGTTTTGTCTAATAAGCAAAATTTTGCATGTACACGATCCTACCAGTAGGTCTTATCCAGATTTGCCTAATTCACCTGTTTTTCATTTTCAATTCATTTCAAGCCAAATTAACTTCATCCAACACATGTATATGAAGATTTTCATATTACACAATATCCATACCAACTCTATTACGTTCATTTCAATGAATTTACATATCAAAAACAAAGTTTTCATCATTGTTTACAAATACTCAAAATAAAGTCACATCCCGACTTTCTTTATCCTTGAGGTCCTATATAAGGGCCTTCATTCGGCGTGTTTCTCGCACCTGAAATGTCTTTCCCGTATAGGGTGAGTCACGCCTAGTAGAGTATTTTTTACAGAGGATACTCCCAACCTAAATACATATGAAATGGTCACATGCAACATTTAACAAACAACAATCATTTCAATCAAAGTTTTATGTTGGAATCTAGCATGTCATGTCATGATATGAGATGACACCCACTCATGCTACTTAACTTGAGCCTTCTCTGGCTCATTTCACCCATGTAATGCTATGAGTATTAAACCAGGCTTCCCAAGCCCCCGCCATTGGCGTTACACACCCAATGAATATTTTAGAAAAAATCTCTGGGTCTTTCTTGGGGTGGGTTTTTATAGACTTACACCAACGGCACCCAATCGACACGGAATTTATGGACTTCCACCAACGGTTTTGTGTACACCGACACACTTTTTGGGCTCTTATACCAATGGAGTGCGTGTCCGATCACCAAGTCTCTCACCCGAGGGACAGTTTAGCCCTTCTTGCTAACTCCAACCCAATTCTTTTTCTCATGCAACCGTGCGACTCAGTTGGATCTTCGATCCAACTTTCCAGAGCCCACCCACTATCCACCTACGTGGTGTTTGATGTTAATCATGCGTACACACACACACACACACACTCATGGCTATGGATACGGTTCCTCCGTGCAAATGTAATGTAATGCATCATTGTTATATCAATGTCATGCACATATGTAATGAATGTCACATGAGTAAGCTTAGCCACATTTCTACATATTCCATGACCAATTATATCATATGCATATAATTACCAAATTTTATCACAATGTTAATATATCGATGAACATATATCAACATTTTATTTTCAATAATATTTCTCAAGCATGTTATTACATAATATGTGTCAATAACACACTCAAATCACAAAGGCATAATATAAACATATAGCATTCCCACATAATACCAAATTTCATGAAATCACACAAATAGTTTCCATATATTAATTCCAAGTTAGGAATTTTGTTTAAACCACTACTATACTCATTTCCTCAAATTCACAAACCTAAGCAAGTGATACATAACTCTATCAACCTACCCATCTCATATAACATTCTATGTTAGGAATTAAACCAAAGTAGGAAGGAACCCT